GGGGGGGGGGGGGGGGGGGGCGCCTTTCCCACCTTAGTGAAATGAGGAAAATTTGTTTAAAGCACCTTTCCGAAGGACAAAACATCCCGCCCCTGACAGGATTTGAACCTAAGTCCTTTCAGTAACAAGCCCAACAACCTAACCACTTGACCACCAACGCCACTGTCAAATCCTAACATATGACTAGCAGGGAAAAGAAAACACCGACAGGTAAATTCACTCACGTGAGTCTCAAACGCTTCATAAAGCATCAGGACCCTCGACTTACTCTGAAGCTCGATGAACTCTGCATCCTGCACCAGATGTAGACTGGCACAAGAGTGACCTGTGATGTGAGCCTTCTGTTGTCTGTTCTGCCACGCCATCCACTCAGCCAGGTCGAGCTGCTCTGGGTCTTGAACTCTCCCAGAGACAGTTGTCTGGGAGTGAGTTGAAAGATAAAGTGAAAATTCAGAGAAAAAACCCCGTTAATACTTATTCAGAAGAGTTAAAAGACAAAGAGATTAATCTTCCTAGATAAAATTATTCATATTAATCAACAAGACAAAGAGATTATTCATAGAAAAATATATTACATTCATAGATGAGATGTTGTTGCTGTTGTTTTCAAATCCCCTTTGTTGCGAGCATTTCGCTCTTGGCAACACAATGCCTCCCTCTCATAGATGAGATAAAAACAAAGAGATTATTCATAGAAAAATATATTACATTCATAGATGAGATAAAAACAAAGAGATTATTCATAGAAAAATATATTACATTCATAGATGAGATAAAAACAAAGAGCGCGGCAGCTGAAGGCTATGTAGCTTATCATAGGATAAAATGTTACCAAATTTCACACATATAACAAGCATAGTAAGGAGTCTTAAAATCCACAATTAAATATGAGAAAATTTTTTCGTTTCCATGGATACGGCGCCACATTGGATTTTGTTGACATGTCTTACATAACTAATACCGCACTTATTTTTTAATGGAATTAAATTGTTTTTTTGCATGCATCTTTGCAAGCAATGGATTTACAAATCTCTGTGATAAATTTTTCCTAAATGTACTAACAAATTTTGGATTAATTTTTTCACGTTTGCAAAAATTCCGTGAAAATCCACACTCCAAACACCACCAACAAAAACTATTCCATATATCAAAAACTCATCACACAAATTTTAGTATTACACCTTTTCTTCATTCTGTGAAAATTTCATGAAGATTGGATGAAAAATGGTGGAGTTATTTTAAAAAGTATATAGAAAAACCAGGTTTCGAGAAAATGGGAGATAAAGAAAAATAAAAGATTGACTTTGTGAGGAAATGGTGGTGGCAAACATGCCCAGTATGGGAAGAAATAAGGCTTTAGGGGGTTCTTATGCAATGAAATAGTTGTAAGAGAGGCTGAAGAAGCTACAAATGCCTGCAACATAAAATCCATAGTTTTGAGCTGAATCGGGACTTTCAGGGTGTAGTC